ATAAAACTATGATGAATGTGAATTTCTGTTCATGCTCATTCAGTACAGTCCATATTCATAACAAACACCGAGGGCTTCATTCTTTAAGCATATTTCAAAGAAGGAATTTCAAAATGTTCACTTTTGTATCTATCACATAAGTGACAAGGACCAAACTAGTCCCACACAATAATAAGTGGAAATCATTGTTTCTTCCATTAGGAGTTTTTTTGGGGGGTGCTCTACAAGGAAAATTTTTAAAGTGAAAAATATCCTTCCTTAAGGAAAAGTATCTTTGCCAAAATCATCATATGTTGTCTTTAAACGTCATTTTTTAATGACTTTTTAAAAGTCTTTGCAATTTAAAAAAATGATTTTGACTGGAAAAGCTCTTTTTAAAAAATTTAAATTCAGTGATACTTTTGTTACATATTTAATCTTATTAGTTCTGCAAAAATCATATCTGCATGAAGAAAAATGGTAAAGTAAAAGTAGCAAGAGCAAATCTGTAAATTGCAACCCTGGAAAAATGGCCTAAGAATGCTGAGACCAGATTCTTACCTGAAGAAACACCTCCCGTAAGTCCTGAGTGAGGTCTCCCATCCTGTTCTCTGGACAGTGGTGTCTCAGTTACTTTGTCACTGATGGGACACACTACCTGACACCCACAACTTTAAAAGAGGAAAGCCTATTTTGACTCATGGTTTTTAAAGGTTTTGGTCTACAGCTGATTCATTCCAAGGCAGAAACAAGATGGCGGAGAGGCATAGTGGATGGTGCTGGGGGTGGAGAGCCATTTACATCATGGTGGCCAGGAAGCAGAGAGAGAAGGAAGGAAACATGGAGGGAGACACACCCTTCTAGGTCACACCCCCGGTGAGCCACCCATCAGCCACCTTCTAACAGCAAGTCAGCTATGGAAGACCCAGGATCCAATCACCTTCCAAAAGCCTACCTCTGAACACATGAGACTTTTGGAAGACTTTGTAGAACTCACCCATAACAAGTGGTGAGCTCCACCTCCACCTTGCCCAATGGGGACACCCATGACAACATGGAGGAAATGACAGTGCCAGGTTGGGATGATAGGTGGGTGGCACTTTCCAACGGAAGGGGAGGTTTGAGTCTCACAAAAACTCAAGGAAATGGTCTAGTGATGAAGAAAAATTCCACACAGAGCCTCGCAGCCTGAAGCATCCTGTAAAGGAGAGCAGGCACCTTCATCAGTGCTAATGGGCACAGCATTTTTGTCCCAAAAATGTTGAAGCAAAACATGCAACAACACTGAGAAGAGCTGCACTTAACTAACTCATCTAGTCAGTCACTAACTGGTGCATTTGTAATCATAAACACTGATCGCAAATGAAAGAGAGCTGATTAATTTTATCTTCCTTTTGCTCGACTATAATGCAGAACTTTGAATTGGGGAAAGAGGAGAAAACAGAATGTTTCTGAAAGCTCACCTCAGATTTCCCATTCCGCTCCCCACCCTGATACCATTCTATCAGATCGGACTACACGACCCTCTGTGCTCAGATAGTAACTGTGCAGACTTCTGTATGAGATCTGCTTTCTACAGTAAAATGCTGCTAAAGGTTTAGTAACCCTCTCTTTGGGAATAAAAATGCATGGGTAAAACTGCACTGAGATGATTATCTTCCAATTCAGAAGTTGCTCAAATAAATGATAAAAATAATATAATTATGGCATAAATATTAACCAATATTCTCATTTAAATTAATAAGTATGAAAAAATTTTAAAATGAAGAGGTTATGTGACTACTACATTCATTCGTCAAGCACAGGACAAACTCCTTTGTCGAAAGAGATAATGATTATCAAATACTGGAAGATGATTTCCTCAGCTTTATCTCTAATTCACAACATAGCAGTTATAGAAATGACACCCACTTAAGTTTAGTCTGCATTCTTGTTTTCTCCATTGTTCTCTTAAGTCTACACTGTCAAGAAAATAATGAACGAAACCCCATCACAAGACATGAGAAAGAATTTACCAGTTCCTGGAGTGTGAATACTCAGAGCATGAAACATTCTGAGCTCTCAGTACACTGTCCTGAGCACAGAAATGGGAAGCATGCACAGTAGTACCATTATGATGTTTCTGGCACTCACACACAATCAACATGAAGAACCTCAGGAGCAAAAATGGTACAAATAAGTAGGAGGTAATGAATGTTGAGTACTTTACTATAGCTTAGTTGATAGTAATTTTATTTCTAATAACAACTGTGTTTGACAACAAGATGGCAGGGTTTGGGGAAATTTTATTGGGCCAACCTGGGCCAGCTCTAACACACCAATGGATTATTCTCCTAAATCATGTATCGCCCTGTGCTTTGCTCATCACACAGCTACTGCTACATAGTGACCACTTACTTGTGCTCACCTCACGGTGCCCAGAAATAGAGAGAGAAGGAGGCAGGGAGGGAGACACACCCTTCTGGGTCACACCCCTGGTGAGCTACCCCTTTAGCCAGTCTCTAACAGCAAGTCGACTTTCTCCTGAAGACATCATAGAACTGAGGATAGGGTACTTCTTGCCTGCGTCACTAGTCCTTACAATGCCTGGAACATTACAGATGTTTGTCATGAATATGTAAAACTGAACAATTGCCCTTTTCTGGCCTGAAATCTGGTAAAAATTCTGTCACAAATACTTAACATCTTTGCTTCCTTTTTCCAGCTCAGCTTTACAAAGATTGCTCTTAATATTCATTCATTTTGTGGAAACTCATGAAAATACTCATTAGGTAGTTTCTATAGATTTCTTACAATTAGTAATAACACAAAGGGTCATATTAAAACATCAAGGACCCCTGCTGCACAAAGTAAATACTGACTGTTTTACACCTTTTGTTCTTGGGACACACCAGTCCAAAGTAACCCCTCACAGAAGCTCCCACGGTGGTCTTCCCAGACACATCCTCTTGGGGACCGAAGCATTCACTCCTCCAGCTGCCTGTGACATGTGTGACCAGAGGTTCCCAGACAAGGCTCTCTCCAGGAATACCCCTATCTGAACCCAACCCAGAATCACTCCCCTTCCCCCATGACAGCCGGAAAGCAATGACTGCTCATGGTAGGCACCTGCGGACACAGCCCTCTGGCTTCCCATTTGAGACAGCTGTGCAGAGATTCTCAGTGGCAGCATTCTCCAGAGTCTGCTGAGAATCCAGTACAAAAAAAAAAAAAAACCACAAAATTGGTGCAACTGCCTTTCAACTTGCCTTTCTGCCATGTTTTGCTTCCTTAACTCCTCAATCTATTTATGCACAAAAATCTCAACCTCTGTCCTTGTAGGCCCACCATGCTCCAGCCCTCAGCACTGTGACATGCACACTGATGCACACATTTTAATAGACATCAGTCAAAGGAGAAGTGTTGTGAGAAATACTGAAATTTAAAACTAGAGCACAACTGTAAGTAGAGCAGATAGTCAATTGCATGCAATAGTATTGACAACTGATTTAATAAGACTACCTCAACTCTAAAATGATGATATTCAAATGTGTCTTTTATTATAATTTTTATTTAAGCCTTTACCATACGTTGTTATCACCCTGCATATATCTTAGCTTAAATAATAGAACTCTTTATGACTACTGAGTTTGCTTCAAGAAGAAAGTCCTCTGTGCATTGTAAGGATTTTCAAGGCTCACATGAGACAGAAAGTTCTAATGTAAATAGCAGACTACATGGAGAGCATTTAGTCATTACATTGTCAATGGAGCATGCAAAGCCTCAGCTGAACTGAAATTGGCCATGCAAACGGGAAATAACTTAGCTAACATTAACAAACATTAAAAGATGGAAATGACCTTCCTTTCTGAAAAGGAAGGACATATATAATGATACCCTAAGAGCTAACTCCTGTCTTATATAATTATACAGAGGCAGCTCTGGACACAGAAAATGCTTGTTATGGTGCAAAAATAATTGGAAATATTTTAGCAATTACCATCCTCAGGTGAAAAGCATTTCATGTTCCATAGTTCCTTCACTTAAGTAGGTCTTTAATTCCAAGAAATGAAAAGACTATGGTAAATAAATAAATAAAACACTGCCTGCAAATACAACCAAATTATCCATATTAGAATGCTAAAGGACTTCATGCTATAAAGTAATTAAGTCTGTTGTATTTATACAGCCACTTATCATACAGGAAAAGAAGACAGCAAGTGACCTACACAGAGTTATTTTTGGCCATGACTACAGGGACATTTTAACCCTTTACACGCAGGCATTAACTGTTGACAATGAAACATTTAGGTAGCTGTAGAATGGTTAATTCAGATTCACTGTGCTAGAAAAGTGGTTAATGTAAATGTAGTAAAATTTTTGCAGATATGAGAAATTACAGGCCTTTTGAAGTCGATTGTGAAATGTTAGTATCCACAAGTAAATTTAAGATACTCTGAGTGGTTTAAAATATTTCTACTTGCTTTTTCACTCTTGACATGAATTATTTAAATATGCTCTTAAATTGCTCTTGTCAATTAAAAAATATTGAAACCTGTGGCTTTCACATATATCTGAAAAACTTAATGGTTCCATGTCCAGGCAGACCAACCTGAAAATTTTCTAGCAAATTATTAATTTTAGTAAAGGTTTCATGACATGATGTATCTATGAATGAGTTTTGGTTTTCCTACCTGCCAAGCACTTCAAATCTGAGCCGGTTCATTAAAAAGGCCCAACACTGTGTTACAGATAACCAAGGCTCAAGTATTTTATAAGAAATTAACATAATTTGTCATTGCAACCCAATACAATCATCTAAACCAATAAATTTTCACTTTCATTTCAAACAAGGTATGGAGATAGGAATAAAATTATTCATGAGGGTCATCTTAGGCTACTAGAAGTTTATCTACCCAATTTGTCTACACTTTTATGGAAGTCTGGACAAATGTTTTATGCTAGAATTGAGTCCATATTACCAAAGGAATATGAGTATGAAATTGTTGGAAGCAAGGCTAGATACTTTTTTGTGCACTTACTTGCAATATGAAAAATTATCCATTGGTTCTTCTGTTCTGTATTTCCATATAACTCTATTCTTTCTCTTCATGTTAAACCTGCAGGTCAAAATTTGGATGAGGAAAAGAAATTAAATACTACTTCAGGTAAAGATCTGCGAAGTCTAAAATGGAGCAGCTTGCCCCAAGCTGACTGTCTTACAAAACTGCATTTTTCTGTCATTTTTGTGCATTCATTCCAGCTGCCACAATCCTCTTCTAGACTTGTTTCACCTTCATTTTCTTGGATTTTCTAATTGGGGAGTGTAACGGGTTATTAAGTGCCGCTCTTCCTGCTTCCACAGAATTCCTCAAATGCAAAGCAATAATCTCCAAGTACACCTGCAAGCCATTCGTTCAAGACTTTCAAAGCAGTTGAGTTTGAAGGGCAAGCAGCCCCAAATTGGTCCTTCCAAAATTAGCCAGTCACCGTCCTCAGCCTGAAAAAGATGGAAGGGCTAAGACGCTTTCTTTAGAGTTGTTAGTGAGTTATAGCAACTTCTACATACATCCTTTGGACAGGAAGCTGGTGTTTTCCCTTGGCCTCAACCCAAGGAAAAGTGACTTGGTGACAGCTAGGGAAACTGGGGCCCAAATTAAAGAGAGGGGTGTACTGAGAGAATATATTCCTACCCCTCAGCGAGGATTCTCGAAGTCTAAAAGTGGACTCTGCTACAGGGACTCCCTTAGGTGGGATCACATAGAGTGATCTCTCTGCAGAGATATAAGGACACCATAGGAACACAATCTGCATCGGAAGCAGGGGCAGAGCAGTCAGAGTCACAGGTGCCCATGCCAAGAAAGATGGTGTCTTTGTGGAAAATCAGCAGTTGAGAGGTATCCAGAAGAAAACATGGCCAAGGAATCAGCCAAAGACTATACCAGAAAAAAGAGTCATTCTGCAATCCTGTGATGCACTCTCAGGCTCCCAGCCCGGATGGTTAGGCACCAGACACCTCTTACAGAGCCCCTTTACTCAGCCTTAGAGACACCAAGGACAGAATCTGTGGAGAGCAGAGCGGGGGAACAAGGACAGAGCAAGTCAGAGATGCCCTGGCAAACTGCAAGGTCCAATTTGGGCCTGAACTGGGGAAAGGCTTGAATAAACTGGGGGCTTACATTATACTGGATTACACCAGGACTATACAGTTTTCATACTGGACTAAATGCTTCCATGCTTGAAGTAGTCAGAGGTGAGGATGGACCTAGATTCTTTCTTTTAGACCTGGGGTTTATCAATTTGCGGATTCTCTTCAGGACAGAAAAACACAAAATTGTAATTTCAGAACCCATAACAGTTCCTTGGAACTGGCTCGTAAAAATGCGAGGCCCTGAATCTCTAATTCAAAGAGTCAGACTAAGGGGTTGGGGATTTAGCTCAGTGGCAAAGTGTCTGCCTGACAAGTGCAAGGTCATGAGTTCGGTTCCTGGTACCGGAGGAAAAAAAAAAAAAAAAACAAAGAGTCAGACTACCTTTTATAGCTTCATTGATTGTACTGCAAGGATTCTATCCCAAAAATGAAGCTTCTGTGGAGGAAAATGATTTTCTTTATTTTAAAAAGAAAAAATTAAAACTAACAATAATCCTAGTTGCCTTACCAGGAGATGCTAGTCATCCATCAAAGACCTGTATATTAGATAAGTGAATGTGTACATAAATTTGTAAATTTTATAGCAATAATACATAATAGATCTACAACTTATATGTGTTTTTAAAATTTTATTTATGTACATAAACTTTTTTGAATGGTTGTGGCTCTTAAAAAAATCTTTCTTAGTTTAATTTGTTAAGCTGACTTCATTAAGTGAGTAGTTGTCCCAAATCAATCTCCGTCGGTCCTCACTCAACCAATAATGATCTCCATCTGGAACACTGGGCAGATCTAGGGTATTAAAACTGACAGCTTCATTTGATCCTTGCTCTTCATTTGAGTCGTAAGAATCCCCCAACTCCTTCCCGGTTTCCTCCCTAAATCCATCTTTAAGTTTCCCAAAAGAATCAAAACCTCTATTTCTCCCAATTCTCTATTGAGTAATAGCTTCCTCGAAAAACTTCCAACCAAAGGAAACATTTAATGTAAAAGAACAGGGCCCCTTGCTGTGGCACCAGACTATTTAGGGTCCTCCGTGAGCCCTCAGCTCCCTACTGTGTTTTTCCAGCAAGGGAAAACTACACAATTTAGCAGTAGATGGGAGTGAAGGTACTTAGGGGTATTTCCTTTCCCAAACAATTGGTAATTATACAGTATTGTTTCTTTTTTCAATTAGTTGTCTGCACTGCAGAGAAGCACACATTTCTTAAAGGTAACAGTCAATCATCACCCCAGTTGCAAATATAAATACTGTATTGTTCAGGCTTAAAAAAAGAAGAGTCACAAAGTGTGAAGTGTTCAGCATCCCTGCTGCCCCGCCCTCCAGCAAATCTCTGTAGGCTTCTGAGATCTCACCACTACCTACCCTTCTCCGCTCCATGCTTTTGGATGGGGTTTTGCCTCTGCCACCATATGAAGAATGATTCACATCCAGAGAATGGATCATTTGTGGAGAAAGAGAAAAGGAAAATGTAGAACTGAAAGTAGGTCCATGCCTCTAAACCTGTGATTCCAGTAACTGCAAACCCTGTGTGGTATCAATGCCTGCTTTCTCACTTTCTGTCTCACTCTCTCATGTGCTTCACAGACCATGTCCTCCCACCACTTTCCTTTCCTCATACCCTGGCCTCCTGTCCTCTCTTTCCTCCTCGGCTCTGACCCTGGTCCACCACTATCAACCCTGCCCCAGACATGCCTCACTCCCTGGCCCTCTGCACATCAAATTTGTCTGAGTAAACCACACCCACTTATTCCACATCTGCCTCTGCATGGCTGTACACAGAAGGAAAACCTGTTCCAGTGATTGTGGATTAAATGTATAACCACTTATCCCTCAATGAGTCTTAAGTGCTGGAATTTTTTACAACCCAGCTAAGGGACTTCTCTCTACTTGTAGTGACATAGCCCCTTATGAGAAGTAGCTTCCCTACTCTTCCCTGGCCTCTGCAAGTAGTAGATGAGACTCTGCCTTGGCCTTGTCGATCACAGAGCGCACCGAACCTCCTCAGGACCCCATCTATGGCATCTCCTGTTTCTGGCAGTGCCGTGCAGGCAGCCAGGAGCCTGACGTTGTGGCACTGACCCTAAAAGTCTGTCTTCAGCTCTTCTTTCCTGAACTCAAGGGGGTCGATGCAGAGGATGGTGCTCCTGCAGGATCTCACAGCACAAAGGGCTCTTCCCAGACCTGTGGTTTGGATATACTCCCTGCACGGGAGCCCCAACACTGCTTTGTTGTCTTCACTCTCCGGAAGGCTGTGCTCCCAACCAAGGCCTATCCCTTGTCTGTGGAGCAGATCCCATCCCTTTGAGCCTAGTCCAGGTTGCTGTTCAAACATTCCACGTCCATGTCTACAGTCCTCATTTTTCCCTCAGTTTATGAACATTTCTCCCAGGACTAAATGAACGAATAAATGAATAGAATACTCTCTCTTGACTTCTTTTCCTTTCTAGGCTTGCTGCCTTCTTCTTCCTCCCTTTAGAGCAAAACTCTGAATAACTCACTGTCTCCTCTTGTAACTCACTCTCTCCAGTGTTTCTCCTTTTCTATCAAGCCTCCTCCAGGAATGATTCTTCTCCATTACTTCACTGAAACTGCGCTTCTTAACATTACAAGTGGTTTCTGTATCATGAAACTCAGTGATCTTCTCAGTCCTCATCAGGTTTTGCCTATCAGAACCAGCAACCCAGCTGTTCACACCCTGAAACACTTCCTTCCCTGCACCTACTGATCACTCCCTTTCCTTGTTTTCCATCTCTCTGATCATTTATACTTTGTCTCTCTTAGGTTCCCTTTCTGTACCTAGTATCTAACCGCTGGAATGCCAAAGCCTCAGTCCTTGTCCCTCTTCTTTATACCATTGTCACTCACTCCTTTAGGGACCTCAGCTAGTCCCAAGGCATAACTATCATCTCTATTCTCATGACCCCTAAGTTAAAACTGTCTCCTCAACTTCTCTCCCAAATCCGTACCCAAATCCATATACCCATCTATTGGATCTATCTGTTCGAGTATAGGTTAGGCATCTCATACTTAATCTGTGCACAACTGACCTCCTGAAATGCATCCACAAACCACCTCCGTCTCCATCATTGCTATCGCATAACAATTCCATTCCCTCTCCCTTTTCTCGTGCTCCACATGGTCTATCCAAAAAACAATGTCATCAGTGCTACTTCAAAACATATTCCTGATTCTGCAAGTTTACAATATCCTCTCTGTCATGACCCTGGTGCGAAACATCATCATCTCTCTACTAAATCACTGTGAAAGTCTCCAGGCTGAGTTCTCTGCCTCTGTCCTTGCCTCTGTAGTCTCTTCTGGATCATATCCTGTTAAGACATAATCAGGTTGTGACGCTCCTCTACTTATAAGTTCTTCTCGGCTTCCATGTGAGGCAGAATACAGCAGGGAGTCCTGTGATTTCATGCACAGATTCCCTTAACTTTCCCCCATCGCCTTCTCTCGTGTACTTTCTCCTTCAGTGTCACAGGCCTCATCCTGTCCTGGAACATGCCGAGAGTGCTATATGCAGGTTCCTCTGTACTTGCTGTGCCAGCAGTGAGGAATGCTCTTCCCCTGTTTGTCTGCATCACTTGCTTCTTCACTTCCTTAAAGCTTTTATTCAAAGTCACGTCTCAGTGACAACTTCGCTGGCCACCGCCACCTCCAACAGATGCTGTGACTCACTACCACTATTTTTGACTCTTATTGCTTATAACCATCTCCATGTATTTCATTTAGTTGCTTTTTGCATTGTCTGCTTCCTCCACTAGAGCAAAGGGCAGAGGATCATGGGTACTGTGCCATTCAAAGTGAAGCTTAACAGAGCACACATCTTCAATCAGTGTCTGTTGCTATTGGTTGGGTTTAAAGATGGTCTGGGTTGGCACTGGAGATTGAAATGGGATCTGGGATGTGTGTGGCACTGGTTTCTGCTAGGAAGCTAGTCATAGGATGTGGAGAATACT